ATATATATATATTTGTCCTAATGTTAACATAGTTGTAATTTTAAAATATAAGATTATATTATGTTATTTTTTTTATAAATGCAATATTTATTATTTTTTTTTAAATTTAAGTGAAACAATCTACGATGAATTGACTATGACTAGTTCTTTTAAACTCACTAAAAGGTGAGTTATGTTAGATTGACCCACCTATTGTTCAACCATGGTGGATTTGATAAAATTACCGACTTTAACAACTCTATTTGTGGAGTTATTTAGGTGAGAACACTTAGTTTATGTGAAAAATAAATACACCACTTATTTTGACATTAGTATGAAAAATACAAAGGAAAAAAAAAACTAATAGACTAGATATATTTGATAAAAAGAAAAAAGTTACTTCAAAAATATAACAATGACTAGAAAAGTTAAAAGATAAACAAATAGTGAAGTTTGTTTGAGTGATGTTTATTAAAAGTTGTTAGTTACATTTGTATTTTTTAATTAAAATAAAAATTTGATCTCTTAACTTGATCATGAAATGCGACTCTTATAGATGTCCAATAAAAATAAATTATATTTTCTTATATTATAATAACAACAATAATAATAATAATAATATTAATAATAATAATAATAATAATAATAATAATTATTATTATTATTATTATTATTATTATTATTGAGTCATATTTGATTCTAACTTATTCCTAAATTTTAATCAGCCAACTTTTTAGATCTTAAATCAATATTGAATCTAAAAAAAAAATAATTTATGAATTAAATTAGAATAAGTTAAAATGAGTCGTTATGTTAAGTTGAAAATTCAACCTTGTACACTCCTATACCTTATTGGATTTCAAGCTCAAAAGTCAAAAGGGACTATTTCATGTTTTTAATATTCATCCATAAATATATTGTGCAAGTGTAGGTACCACATATTTTGATAGGAACAACATTTATTAAACTTCTATTTGGTTAACTTCTCAATAAGTATTTATAGAGAAAAAAATAATTTTCTTTCATAAATTAAATTTATAACTAGTACATATAAATTATTTGATAAAAAATATTTAATTTAATTTTTTAAAATTAATTTTAATTAATACACAAACTAATTTTAATTTATGAATTATTTTATTATATGGAAAAAAGTTATTTGAACTGAACCAATGTCAATAGATGTGATACTAATACTATGACTCCTCCATATCATCATCACCTTTTTTCTATTTGTTAAGTGTCGCACATATGACATCCAATAAAATCAATTGATATTTTTTTTATCATAATATTGATAATAATATCTTAATTTGGTTAAAAATTAATCTTTCTTTAAATCTTTACTATATAAGACTATTATCTCAATGTCATCCTTTTATCAAATGAGTTGATATATTTAAAAACAACACTTATAAACACAACATAAAAGATGCGATTTTATATTTAATTTACATTAAAAAGTATAACAAGATATGTATAAGATTTATATAGAAGCAATATATTTTAATTTTAGCAAAAAAACGAATTTTTTTAAAATAATATTTAAGTATGTTTTACTAATTTTCAAACACTATTTACTTAAGTGAGTTTGTTAAAAAAAAAAAATATCAAGCATTTAAAAATAGTAGTATTTTGGTGATATTTTCAACCCCGTAATAATAAGGTGGATGGTGAGGATGTCATAAAGATTATCTAAGATTCAAATGGGAGGTTTGATTTTGAAATTTGCAGAAGTTATTATCCTCTGAGTGGACAGAAATGAAAATAATTAATAATGTACCCAAACAAACCTTACCTTCCAACTACTTAGCTATAATTACCACCTAAATATCCGATCGGATTAGATGTGATAATATCAACTTATTTATTGTCAGAAGAAATAATTCATTGTCTATGAGTAATGACTGTTTATGAGGCAAACCCTAGTTTTTTTTTATCCGGTCATAAAGTTTCTTTTGATTAATTTTTTAGATTCACACTCCTCTCTCATTAGAACAAAAATCAAACTGATTTGAACCATCGATATTTTTGTAAATAAAATCAGACTTTGTTAATTTTTTTCTTCATATTTAAATTGTATGTTAATAGCGTTTGAAATAATCTATCCATATAAGTAAATAAAAAAAGAATAAAGAAGGAGGAAAAAATGAATGAGAAAGGAGGTAATGAGGTTTTGTTTTCTTTTAATTTTGTTATGTTCTGCAAATGAATAAAGCAATAATTAATAAGTATTGTTCTGCATAAAAAAAATTGAACTAACGACTTTCCAAAAATGAATATTATTCTATTAAATGAAAATTTTCATGCATAAGGTATTATGAATTATAAATATAGACTTGAATTATGTCTTAGTTAGTACCAGGTTAGGATTTTAGAATTTAGATATTGACAGCGTTAAGAGATACAACTAATTAGTGGGCACGTGGATAAACGACAGAACAAATTCCTGGATAAATTTTTTTAAGTATTTATAAAATAAAATAAAATATTTTTTTAACTTTAATTAATTTATGTATTTAAATTTTTATAAATTTTTTTATTTAACTTTGTAAAAATTACGGAACTTAAATTATTTAACTTATAAAAGAAATTTAATTTTGTAATATTTAAGAGAAATTTTATTCAAATATGATATTAGTATTTGCGGGCTAATTTTACAATGTAGCCCATCCAGGATAATTCAAAGTAATAGTCGGATAACGCCGATGATATATATACCTCTTATCTTGTATAAATACACTTTTAATTTTTTTTTAAATAAAATTTTTAAAATATTTTTCTAATTAATTTTCTTTTTAAGTTTTATTTTTAAACTTGTTTTTTATTTACCCCTTCTTTCATTATTTTTTTTTTCATTCTCCTTTTTCATCATTCTAGACATTTTTTTGATGATTTTATTCTTTTTCGTTGTTCATTCTTGATTTTCTTCTTTTACAACCAACATAATCATATTTTATAATTTTATCTTTTAAATTATATTTTTCACTTTCTACCCTATTCTTTCTTAAATCCTAATTTTTCATTCAATCTTTATTATTCTCTACATTCAATACAAGGTCTAAATTAATATATTAAA